GGCGGGGCTAGGGGGGCTCTGGGCGGGCAGTTGGGTTGGATATGGGGGCGGGGGGCGCTGTTGGGGTTGGGAGGACTGTGTAGGGGTTGGGGGGGCAGAGGCCATGGGCACCCGGGGGTACCTCTGCTCCCACACTCATCTCTCTCTCTCTCGGGGGTACAGACCGAGGCTTCGATCTCACGTTCAGGACGGCGGACGACCCCGGCCTGTCCCTCATCAAGTACGGAGAGTTCTTGTACGACAACCTGATCGTCTTCTCGCCCTCCATAGAAGGTGAGGGGAGCTCTGGGTGCCGGCCTGTGCTGTTCCGCGGGTCGGTTGTCTCTTACCTGTGCTGACGACGCACTTGGCGTATGCTAAACTGCACAGCGTGCTGCTGGGGCTAGTCTCTGACTGTGCCACTTTTGCGGATGGAGAGGCCATCAAGTTGGAGACCTGTAAACACATGGGCCCCCAGCTGCGCCTGCGTCATGGAGCCGCATTACGTGGCCTCTGGGTCGCTGCGCTGACCCCTCGCGCTGGCCTTCGCCCCATGTGCTGGGGTCAGGCTGGTCGCTGCGCTTGCGCGCTCCTAGGACTGGGGTGTTTGGCTTTGAGAGAACAGAGGGAACATCCCACAAGACTCCTCATCCAGGTCGTGTGGTCAGCATGGGATGTTCCCTTTCTTTAGAGGAGGTAATTCACAGGGCTGTACGGGAAGAAGCCTGTTACTTTAATGATACGTGGGATCCCTTTTAAATCATTGGAGCTAATTTTATATGCTCGTTCTATTCTGAAGCCCAGAGCTTTTTCCCCTTGTTCCTTACATGCTTGTCTTTCTCTTTACCTGCCCTTCCTTAGTCAAGAGAATAGCGTTTTGACTTTGTCTTACCTTGCAGAGGTGCACGGTTCTCTAACTGATTTGCCTTATCAGTATGTCTGGGTTACTGTCGCTAAACTGAAATTTAAAAATTAACTTGGAAGTTTTTGGAGAATAGAACAAATGAGTTTTACTTGCTGTTTCCCAGCATGGACAAAAAGTTAGATTTACGTTTCCTGACAGCTCACAAGTGCTGTCTTACTGGTTCTTCACTATACACTTGAAAATTTATAATTTCTGTGCGAATGGATTAAAATGCAAAGTGGCATTTTGGGATCGGGCATATTTCAAGCCTTTTTCTCCCCACCTGAATGCTTTTAATGAGATCCTTGGTTATTTCTCTGCAGCCGATGTTGAATACCTAGTTCCCTGCCTTCAGGCTGAAGCCAAGTCCATTCTCTTCCTTACTTCTCTGGCACAACTTCCTTATCAGTCTTCCTCAGCACGCTTGTACCTCTTTCTCCTTCCCTGGTCCAAACTGTGATAAAGTATCCTGCTGTCATCTATGGACTCACAAGTAACTGGCATTTGTCTCTTAAGATTTTGGAGGAAATATCAACGTGGAGACGATCACAGCTTTCATCGATGGAGGCGGAAGCGTCCTTGTGGCTGCCAGCTCGGACATTGGTCAGTAAGAATGACACGATAAATGAATTGGTATAAACTATGGCTTTGCTTTCTGCAGCTGCATAACAGAAGTGCTCTAGAAATGAAAATATCAGCTTTCTGGATGCAGGGTGGTGGTTCAAGTTTTCCTTGACATGGGAGCTCTTAGCCCTCTGGCTGCAGCCTTCTTGTAACAAAGAACTACAAAGCACTTCTGTCCCTGTTATGCAGATGGGAAAACTGTGGCATGGGAGGCCAGATGATTTACCCAAAGGTTGGTAGTGATCAAAGTTTTTATTAAAAAAGCTTTAATTGTATTTTTCAAATGAAAGTTGAGTGCAGAGGTGTGTAGTGAGTGCCTCCAGCTAGCTGTAAAATGTTCAGTTTGCAGCCCCAGCATCTGCTGCTTCTATTTTAATTACGTTTAGTTTTCCTTTGAGTCTTTTTGTAAATAGTATAGAAATAGCAATCTGTCTTTGTTCTTTTAGGTGACCCTCTGCGAGAACTGGGCAGCGAGTGTGGAATAGAGTTTGATGAGGAACGGACAGCGGTGATTGACCATCACAACTATGATGTCTCAGACCCAGGCCAGGTAAGTCTTTGCTAAATTCTTTGGGTGCGTCCACTCCTTGGGAAATGCATTGTAACTGCACAAGTTACTGGGAAATGTCCGAGGGAAAAGGCGGTTTTTGGTTAGCTGTAAAGAAGAATCTTTCCTGTCTTCCTCTTGCCTTCACCCCTTGTCCGTGCTCTCTCCCAAGACTAGCTTACATACCTGCTTTGAGTATTATTGAATTACACAGGCTATGAGGTGCATCTCTACCCTTCCAACTGAATTGGATGTATAAACTTTTGTGAGTAAGAGTTCTTTTCATCAGATGCACAATACTTTCTCTGTTGGATAAATCCTTTTTAAATGTAAAAATCTGTTTTGATTTGAACTGTTCATTTAACTTCTGAAATGCTAGCTTCTGCATTTGCTGTGAGTTGCAGCTTCCATCCTAAAGCAGTTTGACGCACGTGAATAAAACTTAGCCGTCTGATAAACAGGAGACATCACTCAGCATTTTAGCATGTAATAAAATGTAAAACTCAGAAAACTGGGTGACTGTTCAGTTGCATGTAACTTACCTGCCTGACTAGCAGCGCATACCAAACTTAGCTTATGGGCTGTAGTTGTAAGCTATAATGTTTAATGGCTACCAGCCTCTGCGAATCAGCTTTTTTTTTTTTTTTTTTAAAGGAAATTAACTATAAAAGGTAAGCATGCAGAATAAGATTAATCAGCTGTTTAAATTATGGCACCGCTCAGTCCGCGCTGACCATTCTTACCATCTTTATTCTCTTACCCAGTGTCACAAATTGTTTCTGACCAAAAGAGGAAGAAGACTGTCAATTAATGTAGTAGTCAGTGCTACTTTTAAGCACCAGAAAGGAAGCGGCAAAGCTTCATGAGGTGCTGTGTTGTGCAGTCACTAGCCACAAAGTGCCTGCAGCAGGACAGAGCAAGCTGTAATGAAGTGGCCTATCAGCTAGCAGAAGTTGGCTTAACAGTTCCTGGTGTTCTGTAGAAGCATGTAAAAGGTTTAATGAAAGTCTCTTCTGTCTCTTCCCTAAAGCACACGCTCATTGTTGCAGACTCTGAAAATCTTCTGAAGGCTCCTACAATAGTGGGGAAGAGTCCATTAAATCCCATTCTTTTCCGAGGAGTTGGGTAAGTGAACTGTATAAGTCTTTTGCTATTATCATACTCTGTAAACTAATTTTTAACTTGTATTAGCACGTGATCATTGAAACAGAGCTCTTATTCTCTGTGTTGCTTTCTACGGTTTACTCTAGTTTCCCTAACTGTGAACAATGAATCCAAATTCTTTCATTTCCACATAGTCAAGTTTGTTTGTAAAGCTTCTGTTTGAATTTAAAACAGAAACCCTCCAATCCTAGACTCTGTAAAAGGTGATTCTTGAATACTGTCAGGTCAAAACCTGATGGGGGTGGGTGTGTGAGAAACAACTCCGCACTTACATTAGTTTTAAAAGAAAACAAACAAGTCAGTTTGGCTTAATGAGGATTTAATCTGAAATTAGTGGAAGTTTTGCCACTAGCTATGTCAGGAACTGAATCAATATCATTATTCTCAAGCTCTGAATTGTATGTTCGTGGAGTTTAATCAGAACTTGAGGAGCATGTCTTATCTTCTTGGAAGAGGTGTTTTTGAGTTGAAGTATCTTCCTGTTACTTTCCCGATTTCACTCCCTACAGAATGGTGGCTGATCCTGATAACCCTCTGGTACTGGATATCCTAACTGGCTCTTCAACCTCGTACTCCTTCTTCCCTGACAAGCCCATCAATCAGGTATGTTCAGTTACCTTTTGTCCAGTTTCTTTTATCTGGTTATATTCATTCCTCCTGTTTCAAATTAGTAGTTTAAAATTCCTCTTGTTTCAAATCAAGTAGTTTAAAATTGATCAAGAGATTCAACACTGGCACTGAGGTACGGGGGAATTCAACATCTGTAATCTCATGGCACTGCTCTGTATTGCGTTCTCATACCGTCTTGGAAATCTTTTATCTGCAGTTTCGTTATAAACTGGATCCAAACAGAAAAAGCTGGATGAGATAACGAGTGTTAATACTGATTACAGCAAAATAGACTCCAAAAAATAGTCCCCTTTCAAGGGAACTGAGATTAAAATAGTGAGGCGGAAGCAAAGGCTCTCAATCCATTGCTGCTTTGGCAGACCAGGGATTTGGAACACAATTGCTTCTAAGGTGCTGGGTCAGTGCAGAGCAGGTTGATGATACTCCAACCTTGTTGCTACGTTGCAGTTTGTTTGACCAGTGTGAAATGAGGTATTGCTAGCAAGAATCAATTAGCTATGGAGACTGGACTAGCCCATCCTCACCAAAATTCTTCTGTGTAGTTTTGAAGCTGTAGTTGACAAAGGGTTTAAAAAAAAAAGTAATAGGTAATATATTCTGGATGCTCTGGTGTCTCAGCGTGTGGTGAAGTCTCATGCGTCAATTAACCTGAGTAGTTGACAGCGTCTCAACTTACTGACACAACAGTTCAGAGGAAAAAGGATACTTGAGGGTTGACATGACTAGGACTTAACTGACAGGAAACTAGTTTGATTTCTGCTTGCTTACTATGACATTTCATGATAGTTTTTTGAACAGGCAGGTGTTTTTCTTTAAGATGGTGATATTGCAGCGAGAGTGCCTTGAGATGTTTTTTTCAAGGGTGCTGCACAGTTATTAGTAACATTAGGTGTGCAAACATGATTCACGAGACAAATCCAGATTGCAAATAGGAACCCATCATGATAAAACATTCTGATTGGTTGTGGTCTTTGAGTAAACTTATTCTATTATTTTTCTGCACACAAATTGAGTGAAACCTAAGACTTGACATTTTCTGAGGGGGTACCTTGAATCTTAAAAGGTGGAAAACTGCTCCGTTTAAGAAATATTTTTCTAATCTTTGAAAGCCTACTTAGGATTGTGTTTTAGCTGCAGCCAGACATTAGTATTTCTGCTAAGGACAGTGCAGTGGTGTTTGACTTGACTGTTAACTGACCTGACTATTAACTGTTTGACTCCTGTGGCAAATGTGTCTGGCAACTACATTGTTTGCTTAAAAAGCAGCTTAAAACAGTGTGCAAAGGTGAGTTTTTGGCTAGTTTGCTTTAATGTGATTGTTATTGCTTTGCCTTTCTATATCTGGTTCCCCTAATGCCTTATGGTTCCTCTTTACATTATAAGAAAGGACTCTTGTTATGTCTACAGTGCCTGCTGTTTCAGATGCCTCAGCTGAAATCAGAACCTTATGTGCTACTGTTATACAAATAAGCATTTAGTTTGATCAAAGCAAAATGAATTATTTAAATCTGTTCTTATCCTGTCTTTTCCATTTTAGTATCCTCATGCTGTCGGGAAGAACACCCTTTTGATTGCTGGTCTCCAGGCCAGGAACAATGCCCGTGTTGTCTTCAGTGGATCCTTGGATTTTTTCAGTGATGCTTTCTTTAACTCTGCTGTGCAGAAAGCTGTGCCTGGCTCTAAGAGGTATACTAACTTAATATCCTCCATGGGCACTTGGGGCTGTTCTCTCTGAATGGTTCTAATAGCTGTTTGACCAGAGAAACTGGGAGATTGGAACCAATTGTCTCCAACAAGAATATAAGATACACTAACATTGTGCGCTTAACTCCCTTAAGTGCTACATTACTCCCTTTGCTATATAAGCTTTATTATAACCCATTTTCTTTCAGCCTTGGAGTAAATTCTTGAGCGGTCTAAACAATATGGTGTTGTCCTTACCTTATATTAAAGAGGGAAGAAGCAACAGTTCAGTTCAGAGATGCTGAATAAAAAGCTTCATAATGTTGTAGATATGGCTGTCTTAATGTTGTGCAGTATTGTACTCTGAACATCAGTAATCCCATCAGCAATTACGCTGGGAATCTTCTCAGTTAAGAGGCATTAAAACATATTGCTGGATTAAGTGATTACTCAGTACTAAGTAGATTGTTAGGGTGTATAGAAGAATTTGGGAAATAAAGTAGTCATTTAAGATGAGGCCTATCTGATATGGTCCTTTGCCCTTCTAGAAGAAATCTCCGTGGAAAAACATTCTCTTCTATATAAATCCAGGCCAACTTTGTTGCTTTCAGCTCCAGTAGTAATTTACCTGTGTGAATGGCACTCTATGTAGTGGCTGTCATTATGCCTTATTCTCAACCTCTTGCTGTATACGTAGGTACTCCCAAACTGGTAACTATGAGTTGGCAGTTGCCTTGTCCCGCTGGGTATTCAAGGAAGAGGGTGTGCTGCGGGTTGGAGAAGTGTCTCACCATCGTGTGGGAGAGATTGCACCACCTAATGCCTACACTGTCACCGACCTTGTGGTAAGACTGTCTGCAGAGAGATGTACTGGACTTGTATAATGCGGATGAACTTTTATTCTTCAGGCTAAGAGAAACGTGGAAGCAGGCTTTGTTTCCCCCACTAGGACTGAGACCCAGAGCTGCAAAAACTGAAGCGTAAAAATCGCTATGAGGAATGCTCTGGGAGGGGAGAGAAGTAGAATCATTTGGGAGCTTTCTCCCTTCAATTTTAATTGGTTCTAGATAGCTGTAGGTATTGAGAGCTCTTGGTGTAATCTCTCTAATTTTGAGGATAGCATCGGGTGCACCTTTGGACCCTGTTTAGCAGTACATGTTGGAGATTGTCCATCTTGGCCCGTATGAGAACATCATGAAATATTAAATGGCGTCAGCAGCCAGCTCTGGAGAAGCCCTTGACTTGTTTAAAGTATCACCCAAGCCTGTTGAACAGATGATCCCACTTGTTTTCTTTCACAGTACTTCTCTACAAGTATTTGAGGCCTTCAGAGCATGTTCTGGAATTTTGACTTCACCCCGTGTCATTAAATAGTGGAGATTTGGCATCAGTTTTCAAAGTAAAAATGAATAGTACACACCAGCAGGTTTAAAAAATGCCATCCTGCTCTGTAGAAATTGCAGCTATAAAACTTGTGGTAGGAGGGGGGAAAAGCTTTTAACCATGGCACACTTGCCAAGCTTTAAATGTGGCATGCTTAAACGGAAGTCTGCTCCAAACTGAGTATACCTGTCAAAGGCTTGTTGGTGCAGTGAAGTTCCTGCACAGTAAGACAGAGTATGACATTACAAGCACATTAGCTCCACAGTGTAATGGCTTTCAGATATCACTGTTAGTGAAATGCAGTACATCCCTCTTCTGTTCAGAAACTTTGTCCTGTAGGTCTTTATTAATGCAGCGTTGGCTTGTATGTTTCAGGAGTACAGCATTGTGATTGAGAAGCTGTCTGATGGGAAGTGGGTTCCCTTTGATGGAGATGATATTCAGCTGGAATTTGTTCGCATTGACCCATTTGTCAGAACTTTTCTGAAGAGAAATGGTGAGTCTTAGGTTGCCTTGGACGAGCAAACATTTACAGCCTTAGGGATTTAAAACCTATTGATAGTGACAAAATTGGGCATGTTGTCTCTCTCCTCTTCCCATGGAAACGTATCTCACAAATAGTACGATTAGTTGGAACAAAGGCTATTCTGAGATAATGTATGGAATAGCCACAGACAGCATGTCTGACTACAAGAAGGAAGGGTTTGCTTTGAATTGCATTGCTTTGCTGCGGAAGTGTTCCATTAGCAGGAGCAACTAGATTCAGAAGATTAATGCTGCAAAATGGGTTTGGGGAGAGGGAGGTGCAGGGCCACGAGGTGGAAGGGAACTGAGAAAAGAATTCCCAAATGAGAATTTTTTATTTTTTTTACTTTGGTCTATTTAGTGAGTTATTTACATGGTGTTTTTTTTTTTTCTCTTTCCAAGGTGGAAAGTACAGTGTACAGTTCAAGCTGCCAGATGTCTATGGAGTTTTTCAGTTTAAAGTAGATTATAATAGGCTGGGATATACCCATTTATACTCTTCTACTCAGGTAAATACAGTAAAAAATTATCTTCTTTGGATGTGTGTTGTGGGGGGCTGGAAATTATAATTCCAATTATAATTATTGGACCCTGGCTGAAAAGGTTCTACAGTTGCCTGAGTGGGAGGAATCATGCCAAGAGGTTTGTAAATGATTACATGCTAACATGAGGTCCTGCATCTAAACTGAAGGATGTCCTCTTTTGTCTGTCTTCTGCTCCCAGGTGTCTGTGCGTCCCCTGCAGCACACGCAGTACGAGCGTTTTATCCCCTCTGCATACCCGTATTATGCCAGTGCCTTTTCCATGATGGTAGGCCTCTTCTTGTTCAGCATCGTCTTCTTGCACATGAAAGAAAAGGAGAAATCTGACTGATCTCCCAGCAGGGGAAAAACTTTTGCCCAAGTCACTGGCTCCACATGGAGCCAGGTGACATGCAGGATGCTGTAAATGTTGTTTGAGGATGGGACTCCTCAACTGGTTAAAGGCCAGATGAGCATGGGGACTTTCTAAGACTGGGGGGCTAGCAAGAAAGGAGTAAAATTTTATATTTGAGGGGACTCCACTGAGCTGTAAATGATCAATATGTATTGAAATGCAGTGACAGTTTGAATATTGGCATTTCATGACAATATGTAAGGAACTATTTCTTGGCTTGATTTTATTTTGGGGTTTTTTCCTACCCCCTATTGGAATGGCTTTTGACTAAAGATCTTTTTTTTTTTTTTTCTCCCTCTCCCCCAAAAATAAAGACTTGCTCCCCTCACTTTCTGAAGTGTCTGGCTTTCTCATAAGTGGTTTTCTAAAAGAACACAAGGTACTTTTAAACTGCATGTGGCTGGGTTTCCTAATTTAACTGCAGAATAGGCTATAATGCATATGATGGAGACAGTGCTCCTGGCATCAAAAGCCTTCATAAATAAGGGTTTGCAGTGAAAAGTCTCAGTAATTCATAGTTTCTAGGGTCGGAAGGGACCTGAGCAGATCATCTAGTCCGACCCCCTGCCATG